ACCACATCAATTCCATACACCCAGCCATCAGATTCACCATGGAAGTCTAATAAGATGGCAAGCTACCTTTTTTGGATGTCCTAATTAAAAGGAGACCTGATGGTTCAATGAGCCATTCTGTCTACAGGAAAGCCATCCATACGGAAGCTTACCTAAAACTGGATTCCCACCACCATCCATCCCAGAAGAATTCCCTCATCAAGACTCTATACCATAGAGCCCAATGCATTTCCGACCAGGAACACATTGCCAGTGAACTCAAACATGTACGCCAAGCTCTTAAGGCTAATGGTTACTCCGACTACACAATCCGCAAAGCCATCACTCCAACCATCAAGAAGGATCCTGTTGAGGAGCCTCACCTTACCCTACATTGCTGGGGTCACAAAAAAGATCTCCAAAATCCTGATTAAACACAAGATCCAGGTCCGATTCAACACAGTACATAAAATCCGTGATCTGGTCCCGTCTGTAAAATATGTGGTTCCAGACATACAGTACCCTGGCGTCTACAAACTAAGTTGCCTCTGTGGTAGCAGTTACATTGGAGAAACCAAACGACATGTCTCGGACCGCATCCGTGAACATAAAGCAGACTTGAAACAAGGTAGGAAAAACACCTCAGCCGTGGCAGATCACTGTTACAATTCAGTGGGTTCACATGATATTGACTTCTCCAAGACAGAGGTTCTCTGCAAGCCATCTGGCTACCATGAGAGATTCGTTCATGAGGCGATCCACATATACAAACACAGAGACAATTTCAACCGAGAAGATGGATTCCGTCTTAGCAATCATTGGAAGGACGTAATAAACCATTTCGGATCTTAACTGATTGTGTCCACGTTTACGGTGACTTTCGGGCCGCGTTCCACTCGCTGACATTGACTATATATCCTGTATTCTCCGCGGGGAGTGGGTTCTTTGCTCCGCTGCGGGCTTCCTGCCACCACTCCCATTGACATATTTCGGTGCTTCCTCTTGGTGCCTTTCACACGACGGTCAGTGGTATAGTGTATAGCATATTGTATAATAATAAATAGTATTAAAGTGTAATGTTTAATACAATGTATAAGGTAATATATAGTATCATAATTGTATGGTGAATATACAGCAGTGTGGTATACAGTTGGGTGGGTAGAATAATACATAGTGTAATATTACAATGTATAGTCTAAAAACATATTAGTTGCTGCGGCGCCATATTATTAACATTCTTTCCCTTTATTAATTCTAACCTTACTCCCTCCCTTTGATACTGCTAATCCTGCATAATGCATGGGCATAATGACTTTAAACCCCTCGCCAATCCTCCTAATCGCATATCTGCATTTCCCATAAGTATGCTAAATTCCTCTTGATATGCACTCCGCAGGGAATGGATTTTTTGCTCCGCTGCAAGCTTCCTACCACCATTCTCCCATTGACATATTTCATTGCTTCCTCTTAGTACCTTTCACGCGACAGTTTATGGTATAGTGTATAACATATTATATTATAATAAATAGTATTAAAGTGTAATGTTTAATACAATGTATAAGGTAATATATAGTATCGTAATTTTATAGTGAATATATAGCAGTGTGCTATATAGTTGAGTGGGTAGAATAAAACATAGTGTAATATGACAAGGTATAGTCAATAAGCATATTAGTTGCTGCGACATCATATTATTAACATTCCTTCCCTTTATTAATTCTGACCTTGCTCCCTCCCTTTGATTCTGCTAATCCTGCATAATGCATGGGCATAATGACTTTAAACCCCTCGCCAAACCTCCTACGCATTTCACAAGTAGTGCTAATCGCATATCTGCATTTCCCATACATATGCTAAATTACTCTTGATATGTAAATCATTTTGTCAAGACGCTCTTTGCTCCTCCATCCCAGCATAAATAGTCGCTCCAAGCCTGGAGCGTGCCATTCAGACTCTGTCTACTTGACGGACCTGTTCTCCACCTGAGGACGGCTGCTTGCGTTGTGGCCGAAACGTCGTGAGAATTATTTTATCATGTTTTATTTTTATTATTTTATTACTTCCCTTCTACGTGACTTTACCGAAAGATCCAAGAAGATGAATCCCTGCAGTCACGAAAGCTTTTAATCGAAATTTGAGAGAGTAGAGAGTTTCCCATACCTGGGCAGTTTGCTCATGACTGGCTCCAGTTTGACAGCAGAGGTCTCATATTCTTAGGTTTTTTCGGTGAAGTCACGTAGGTTAAAAAATAAAATTAATAAAAGTAAAATAAAATAAAAATCACGACGTTTCGGAGGCAACACAAGCTTCCCTCTTCAGGTGGAACCGTCACAGCACGACAGCTGTATCAAGTAAATGAGAGATTACAGGAGATACCACTCCGTATTTATAATGGTTGAGGGGGGGAAGGGCCAAGAATGGCCCACTTTTTATTATTATGGTAAGGTGCGGCTTGAGACTATGAATAGACTGCATAACAAAAGACAGAGCCTTTATTATGGAGAGGTTCGGTTTGTGACTACGCCTCGCCAAGTGTGAAAAAAGAAAGCTAAACCTGGTAGAAAGCTAAAACATGGTAAAACAAAACTGGCTGTCTATCAGTAACCTGTAATAGTTTTCTGTCAAATAAGATGGTCCAAATAAGTGTAGTTAAATCTTTTTTGCATGGTTAATCACATCTTTCCAATGATTACTCAGTTTGTAACCATCATCACGGTTGAAATTATGTCTGTGTTTGTGATGTAACTACACTTATTTGGACCATCTTATTTGACAGAAAACTATTACAGGTTACTGATAGACAGCCAGTTTTGTTTTACCATGTTTTAGCTTTCTACCAGGTTTAGCTTTCTTTTTTCACACTTGGCGAGGCGTAGTCACAAACCGAACCTCTCCATAATAAAGGCTCTGTCTTTTGTTATGCAGTCTATTCATAGTCTCAAGCCGCACCTTACCATAATAATAAAAAGTGGGCCATTCTTGCCCCCCCCCCCTCAACCATTATATATACGGAGTGGTATCTTCTGTAATCTCTCATTTAATACAGCTGTCAGTTCAACCTGAAGACGGAAGCTTGTGTTGCCTCTGAAACGTCGTGATTTTTATTTTATTTTACTTTTATTAAATTTTATTTTTTACCTACGTGACTTTACCGAAAAAACCTAAGAATATGAATCCTTGCAGTCACGAAAGCTTCAAATCTAGCAGAGGTCTCACTCCGAATCAGTCGAGCGGCATTATATTTTCATCAGTTGCGTAACGCTGTGTGGAAGCTACCTGGACTTCTCGTCCACAGTCATTCCTTCCATTCTCTATGCTTGCGAAACGTGGAACCCCCAAACTGAACATCTTTGCCGGTTAGAAACATTTAGGCTGACCTGCCTACGATCCATCCTGGGTTTAACCAGGCTTGATTGTGTGAGGAGCTCACAAATCCTTGAAAGATCTGGTCAAAGTCCCATCGGTGAGCTCCTCCGGCAGGCAAGGCTGCGTTGGCTGGCTCATGTAGCCCGCATGCCAAATCACTGCATGCCTAAACAGCTTTAGTTTGGCCGGATCGGGGAGGCTTAACGGTCACGGCACGGGCTAGAGAAGAGATGAAGTGATGTGGTACAGGAGGAAGTGGACCTGAGTGGACTTGCCGATAACTGGTACCAGTGGTGTCAAGATCAGCCTCTATGGAGGAGGCTAGTGAAGGACGCTACTGGGCAGTTGGAGGCAGTCTCCCTCCAACAACAACGGAGGGCAGAGGAGCGATGCTCACAACAACGAGTGTAGCGCCGGGTAGCTAAAGCACGGCAAGTTGGCACAGTAGGGGGCACAGGTGATGCATCAGCCAGTCATCTCAGTCAGTTGACCCTTGGCATCTGGGTCTACTCCATGACCTCGTGTCAGCGGGCATTCGACACTTCCCCGTGCCTCAACGTGCAAATAGTCTGGCACAAACGTTGTGGTGACGTCACCACCACTTAGTGGCGAATGGCGGTTGTTCTTGAGTGAGTGGATAGATGAGTGGGTGAGTGAGTGGGCGAATGACTGGGTGGGCGAGTGATTGAGTGAGTGGGTGAATAAGTGTGTGAGTGGATGAGTTACTGTGTGGGTGAATTAATGAGTGGATAAGTGACTGGGTGGGTGAGTAAATGGGTGGGAAAGTGGGTGAGTGACTGGGAGGGTGAGTGAGTGGATAGATGAGTGGGCGAGTGACTGGGTAGGCGAGTGAGTGGGTGAGTGGATGAGTGTGTGGGTGACTGGGTGGGACAAGTGAATGTGAGTGGTTCACCATTGGAACCTCCTTTGCCAGTAGCAAAGTATGATCGTTGTTTTTTTTACCCTTTCATCTGGCAACGAAACTGATACCTTTTTTTACAAGGAGTCATGTTTGCATTGACCACAATACCTGCGGTCGGAATGCAAATAAAATGCACAACTCTGATAATGTATGCACTGTTCAGTTTCGTTGCCAGATAAAAGGGTAAAAAAACAATTATTGAGCGAGTGGTTACGTAAGTTGTTGAGTCGGTGATTGACTGGACAGTCGAATGTATGGGGGAGTGACTGGGTGGGTATATGAGTGGATAGGTGAGAGTGATTGGGTTGGTGAGTGAGTGGGTGAGTAACTTGTTGAGTGAGTGGGTCAGTAACTGGGTGGGTGACCGAGTGAATGGGTTGGTGAGTGAGTGGGTGAGTGAGTGGGTGAGTGAGTATGTGATTGAGAGGGTGATGGGTGAGTGAGTGGGTTACTGGGTGAGTAACGAGGTAGGTGGGTGAATGACTGAGTGAGTGACTGGGTTGGTGAGTGACTGGGTGAGTAACTGGGTGTGGGAGGGTGCGGGCAAGCAATTGATGACGCACGTGAAGAGGTAGGAGGCTTGTGGGGAGGCGTTCATCCAGCAGCGGATTGACCCTGGCCACCTGTGAAAGCGCTCACCCCGTGCCCCAACCCTCCTCCCAACACCTTCCCCCCACCCTCCCCCCTCACCGTCCCCATCCCTCCCTCCTCCATCCCCGGGTTCTCCACTCAGAGCCAGGGCCGGACGGAAAATCGGAAGGCCCAGAGGCCCCCTCCGAGACGTCGGCCATCCCTGGGCAACGCGGCCTCCCCGGGCCGGCTGCTCGCACTGTCGGCAAGACCACGGGGAAGGGGGTGACTTCGATGAGCTCAGCCACGACCTCGTCGTCGTCATCATCATCATTGTCATCGTCTATACCGCCAGCAGCTACAGCCGCGGGTGAGACAAGATGCTGCCAGGGTCAGAAGTCGCGCTCCTGTAACCAAAAATCGCAACGGATTCGGCAACTTAAAAAAAAGACACCGTGCGGATTGACAACTTATTTCCCTGGGAATCGCCCAGTCATTGTGTCTTCCGCTTGCCGAACGAGCACATCGCAAGGTCGCACTCATCACACACTCACCCGCAAAGTTATTGCCACGAATGACCCACAATTACCTTCCGAAATTAGGAAGCCACTGGGAGCTATGACACTTTTAAATCGTCATCTAGATTTAAAAACTGCTTGCTGTTGTGTTTAAGTTGTCCCCCGCCCGCCGCCCACCGTGCACCTCCCGATTAGCCACGGTTGGCTACGTATGGTGCAAAAGAAGTACAACATACACGCAACAGATTATTGGGGGTAGTGCTGTTAATAAGTTAAACAATTTTAATTTTACCAGATATCGGCCCACTGAGCTATACGGCTCATTTTTAGAAGTGACCTGGCCACCACAAATGATAGCTCAACGAAGTGGCTTAACATGATCGTGTGGAAATTTATAGCAGTCAAATACTCTAAACGCGTGATGTTGATTCTAAATGTGGAGGGGAAAACCGGAGGACCCGTAGAAAAATCCACATTGAAAGAGAGAGAGGCACGCAAAAGGTGGCGCATTGATTAGCGCCCTACGCTAGGATCCCAGCGACCCGTGTTTGGGTGTTTAGTCCCTCGCCTGGTATACAGGAGGGTGTGGGTTCGATCCCGACCGTAACAATGCATGCTGTATATTTTGAGTTTACATGTTCTCCCCGTGATTGCGTGGATTTTTCTCCGAGTCCTCCGGTTTTTCCCTCCACATTTATAAACACGCGTTCAGAGTATTTGGCTGCTCTAAATTTCAATGTGATGATGAGCCACTCCGTTGAGCTATCATTTGCGATAGCCAGATCAATTCAGAAAAAAAGCTACGTAGCAGCTCAGTGGGGCCTTGCCTGGTAAGAATATAAATTGTAAATTGTGCTGGCGAGCACCTATTTAACCCTTTCCTGTGTCCCAGGAATACACAAGTCACAGGGTGTGCGTCCCCGTTCACCGCCGAATCTCGGAACGCTCGAGCGGCTCGGCGTACATTTTATTTAGAGGCGTAGTAGTAGTAGCAGCGCAGAGAACCATAGCAGCACGACCGCCATAACTTGACGGTAGCTGGTGCCAACAACTGTGCCACACGCTACTCCCGAATGGCCTTGTGGGGAAGACTCGGTGTGCCGATTAAAGTTATTTAATAAAAAAAATGTCTTCCCGTTCCGATCACGATGACGTACACATGCACGTTCGCGAACGTCACCGTGCACGCACGCACGTCATCGTGAACGGAATCAGAAGTAAAACTGACAACGTATGCTCTGCCCTCCTCTCCCCTCCACCAGGGCCCCCAAGAGGAAGGGCCCTTGAGCCAGGGCCCCTGGAGACCCCTTCATCGGGGGGCACGGGGGCCCTGGTCGCATCCCTGGTGGTCATCATCGTCGTCCTCATCGCCATCATCGCCCTCATGCTATGGAGGCAGCACTGGAAGAAGGTCCTGCGAATGGTGAGAGAGAGCTGGTCTCCGTCCATGTGTCTGTGTGTGTATGTCTTTGTTGTTGTGTGTGCCTGCGTGTCCCTGTGTGTTTATTTGCCTGTGTGTTTTTGTCTTTGTGTGCCTGTGTGTATGTGCGTGTGTGCCTGTGTGCGTGCGTGCATGTGTGTGTGAGAGCGGTAGTGTAGCAGTTAGCACGCTGCACTACGAACCCGGTGACCCGAGTTCGATTCCCACACCAGTGACGATTATCTGAACCAGTCAAGGGCATCCCCCAGGTTAACTCAGCATCAAATGAGTACCTGGTCCAGTGTGGAAACATCAACACTGGGGAGACAAAGGCTGCCAGGCATGGTGCTGCCAACCCACCTCGTGTGCTGTGTCAGCCTTAATAGGCGTTCGCTAATGGCGCTTGCCCCAACAGTCTGTTAAAAGCTATACGGGGGCTCTTTGTTTTTGTGGAGGAGCAATGCTCGCAACAATGAGCGTAGCGCCAGGCGGGTAAAATACATAAAATTGGAACAGTGGGAAGCACAGGTGGTGCGATGATTAGCAGCGTGCTAACCACTGCGCCACCACTCCCCACATAGCGAATTACACAGGAAATGTAAGAAGCATTGGGCAAAAACATTCCAATGCTGAGCAATTCCCTGCAACAAATCACTCAATTTGGACCACAGACAGCAGCAACATCGCTCCCTACTGCATGGGCAGCATTCTCCTGACCGAGAGTCTATTGTGTAATGTGTCGTGTATAGTGTAGTGTATAGTAGTGTATAGTGTAGTATTAATGTATGTTTAACTTCTTTCACACCGTACGTAGCAAACCGTGCTAATCAGAGGTGAGGGGGAAGGACAACAAACTACCCACAAACAGCAGTTCTAAAGAAATGAGTTTTCCATTTAGTATCGTAGTGTTGTGTATTGTAGTGTATAGTAGTCTATAGTGTAGTGTGTGTGTAGTGTATAGTTGTGTATAGTAGTGTATAGTGCAGTGTATACTAGTGTAGTGTATAGTGTAATGTGTAGTGTATAGGGTAGTGTATAGTCATGTATAGTGTGTAGTGTAGTGTATAGTATTGTATCGTGTAGTATGAACGTATGGTGAACTTATTCGTACCATACGTAGCCAACCGTGCTAATCAGAGGTGCCAGAGGGAAGGACAACAAACTACACACAACAAGAAGCCGTTCTAAAAAAACGAGTTTGTCAATGTGTAGTGGGTCCAATACAAAATATGGGTACATAACACAAAGGGGTAATGGCCCCTTGCACCCAATACCCTTAGGAGGTAGCCCCTCCGGACTAATGTGCCCTCACTCTGGTTATAGCGCTAACCCTATACTGTTCTGAACCCGACCATAGCCAGGAGTTTGGGTTCTGCCCACTGGGCTCTTCTCTTCAGGGTGGCTCTTCAGGTTTTCAGGTCTTCAGGTAGACGAGGACTGCCAGACCCGTTCAGGGGTCAGGCTTTTATACTCGCTCCAGAGTCTCTCCGCCCCGAGCCACACCTTCCTTCTGGAACTCTCTCGGGGGCCCTGGAACATGACGGCATCCCCCCAGCCCCCCTCTTGGGGTCTGGGGTCCCTGGTGGCCCAAGGGCCCGACTCATCCCACCTAGCCTGTCTACCACTCCCTGTTGACACATGCCCGCTACTGCAGGTAAGGGTCAATGGTGAATATCCATACAGTAAAGTAACGTAGGTATAAAATAAAATAAATTAAATCACGACGTTTCGGGCGCAACAAAAGCGTCCGTCATCAGGTGGGACAACCACAGCAAGAAACAATTGCTGAAGTGGGAAAAAGGGCTGCTGTAACAAGAGGCTATGTAGGTAAGAGAGGGGGGGAGGAGAGAGAGGGGGGGGTTGCTGCAAGCTAGAGGGATTATGGGGCGAACAAGGCATGAGCACGACAAAATGCGGGGGGGGGGGGGGGGGGGGGGAGAAGTGAGCGGGGCTGGGAGTGGGAGGCTGAAGAAACTGGAGATGCGGATATGAAGGCAACACCATAAAGCAGTTAAGGTTTTACCTGATTAATAACATCCTTCCAATGATTGCTCAATTTGTATCCATCTTCTCGGTTGAAGTTATGTCTATGTTTATATATCTGGATGGCTTCATGAACAAACCTTTGATAGTTGCCCGAAGGTTTGCAGAGTACCTTGGTCTCGGAAAAACAACAATATCATGAGAGCCCTCAGCGTTATAGCAATGGTCAGCAACGGTGGAGGTATTAGTTCTGCCGTATTTCAGATCTGACTTGTGCTCGTGAACACGGTCCGAGATATGTCGTTTCGTTTCCCCAATGTAACACCCACCACATGTGCAATTTAGTTTGTAGACTCCATGATATTGCATGTCAGGAATGACATCCTTCACAGCTGGGATTAGATAACGGATTTTGTGTACTATACTGAATCAGACCTGAATCTTGTGTTTGTTTAAGATTTTGGAAATATTTTTGGTAACGCCTGCTATAGGTATGGTAACATGATGGGTTTGATCGGCGTCTCAGGGGGTTGTTTCTCCCTGGTTGGAGCAACAGCTATGCGAATAATGCGGTCCGAGTACCCATTCATCTTGAGGGCCTAGTGTACGTGTTCCAGTTCACTGGTTAGGTGGTGTTGGTGAGAAATGCAGTGGGCCCTATGGTGTAGTGTTTTGATGAGGGAATTCTTCTGTGCTGGATGGTGGTGAGAATCAGGTTTCAGATAGGAATCTGTGTGGGTGGCTTTCCTATAGACAGTGTCCCAACGAGCCATCATGTCTCTTCTCAAACATAACATCCAGGAATGGTAGCTTACCATCCTTCTCCACTTCCATGGTGATGAGAAATTGGTTCAATGCAGGCAGGGCATGTGGCCAAATGACGAAAGTGTCATCTACATATCTCTTCCACAAGGAAGGATGTAGGGTGGATGTCTGGATGGCATCTGTTTCAAATTTCTCATGAAAATATTCGCTATCACTGGTGATAAGGGGGAACCCATATGGGTACCTTCATTTTGTTTGTAGAAAATGCCATTCCAGGTGAAGTAAGTGTTGGTAAGGCAGTGCCTAACCAGAGTAGGAACATCAGGGTTCAGTCCATGTTGGACTACATCTTCAATTATTGCTAAGGTGTCAGGCACATGAACCTTGGTGAACAGAGAAACTACATCAAAGCTGACAAGAAAATAATCTGGGGACAGTGAAATACCCTTGATTAGAGAGACCAGGTGAGCTGAGTTATGTACTTCTAAGGTAGTCTTGCCAGTGAATGGAAGCAAGGTATCAGACAGAAAACGGGCCAGTTTGTAGGTAGGTGAGTTGATAGTGGAAACGATGGGCCGAAGTGGAGTGCCTTCTTTATGGATCTTAGGAGGACCATATAATCTAGGTGGTCTAGTAGCAGAATATTTTAGGAAGAGCCGTTTGACTGGTTCGATTAGAGAAGTCGAACTGGTAATGATATAGTTGGTTTTTGTAGTCAGGCTGTTAGTAGAATCTTTGTTGATTTTGGTGTAGCTGCTATTATTAAGAAGGTCCTGGATTTTGTTGTTGTCCCACCTGATGACGGACGCTTGTGTTGCGCCCGAAACGTCGTGATTTAATTTATTTTATTTTATACCTACGTGACTTTCCCGAAAGAACCAAAGAGTATGGATCCCTGCAGTCACGAAAACTTCAAATCTAGATAGAATATACATACAGCCTAACAATGGCACTCCAAATGTAGATGGTGATTTAAAAGTGGCATCACAGCTCCCAGTGGCTTCCTAACATCGGAAGGGGAAGAGGCGTTCCAGACGGCCACAAAAAGCTCCGCGCGATGACGAAGATGTTGATGTGGTGACCAACGCCGTCTTTTGTTCGACGGCCGAGCCAAAAGCCGCCGCTGCTGTTGCTGCTGCTACTGTTGTTGTTGCTGTTGCTGCTGCTGTTGTTGTTGCTGTTGCTGCTGTTGTTACTGTTGTTGCTGCTGTTGTTGTTGTTGTTGATGTTGTTGTTGCTGCTGTTGCTGTTGTTGCTGCTGCTGCTGTTGTTGCTGCTGCTGTTGCTGTTGTTGCTGTTGTTGTTGTTGCTGCTGCTGTTGTTGTTGTTGCTGCTGTTGCTGTTGTTGCTGCTGCTGTTGCTGTTGTTGCTGCTGCTGTTGCTGTTGTTGCTGCTGATGTTGTTGCTGCTGCTGTTGCTGTTGTTGTTGCTGTTGCTGCTGTTGCTGCTGCTGCCGTTGCTGCCGTTGCTGCTGCTGTTGTTGCTGCTGCTGTTGTTGCTGCTGCTGTTGCTGCTGTTGCTGGTGCTGCTGTTGCTGCTGCTGCTGTTGTTGCTGCTGCTGCTGTTGTTGCTGCTGCTGCTGTTGTTGCTGCTGCTGTTGTTGCTGCTGCTGTTGTTGCTGCTGCTACCGTTGCTGCCGTTGCTGCTGCTGCTGTTGTTGCTGCTGTTGTTGTTGTTCCTGTTGTTGCTGCTACTGCTGCTGTTGTTGCTGCTGTTGCTGCTGCGAGGATGATGGGAGTGTCGCATGACGACGACACTTTACGCTCCTTGACGCGACCGGCGAGGGTATCCAGGGCTCATTCAAGGGGCTGCCCTGCCACCTCCGTCTGTGCCGCCCTCTCCCAGGTCACCCATCGGCGTCTGAGCGACAACCTCATCACCGTCTCGCTGTCGGGGCCGCATGACACCGCCCTCATCGGGAACCCTCGCCCCAACGCCTACGAGGGGTCCGCCGAGGATGGGGGGCCGGCGGAGGGGCGGGCAGGGGGCTACTGCCGTGTGTCCCCCGTGGACTTCTCCTGGACTTCCTCCTCTGGGCGCCGCCTCCCTTCGCCGCTGGCACGACGAAAACTCCCGGAGCTCCCGCAGAGCGCGGAGGACGCGGCCGGTAATTGCGGAGCCGAGCTTGCACGCATGTGCGCACATGCACATGCACATACACACATGCACATACGCACACATGCACACATGCACACACACACGTAAACACGCGCACACACAACAACACCAACAACCACCATTCACCACTACATGGCAGTGATGTTACCACGGTGCTTGTGCCAGGCTATGCGTACATTAAGGCCACGTGAAGTGTCGAACGCCCGCTGGCAGGAAGTCACGGTGCAGACCCAGGTGCCATGGTCTACTGACTGAGATGACTGGCCGATACACCACCTGTGTTTCCTACTGTGCCAACTTGCTGTGTCATGGACATCTTCTCTACTCTAGCCCATGCCACACCCATTTAGCCTCCTCTATCTGGCTGAACAAAAGCTGTTTAGGCATGCAGTGGCTGGGCATGCGGGCTACATGACCCAGCAAATGCAGCCTTGCCTGCCGGACGAGATCACCGATGGGACTTTGTCCAGATCTTTCAAGGATTTGGGAGCTCCTCACACAATTCAGCCTGGTTAAACCCAGAATGGATTGTAAGCAGGCCAGCCTAAATATTTCTAACCAGCGAAGATGTTCAATTTGGGGGGTTCATGTTTCGCAAGCGTAGAGAAGGGAGGGCATGACCATGGCCGAGAAGACCTGAAGCTTCGTGTGGAGCAACAGACCAGGGAGCTTCAACACAGCAACGTTACGCAACCGATGAAAAGATAATGCCACTCGACTGATTCGGTGTGAGACCTCTGCTGTCAAACCGGAGCCTATCATGACCACACTGCCCAGGTATGGGAAACTCTCCACTCTCTCCACAGCAGCAGCGCCTCCAACTCCTCCTCCGAGTGAGCAGCAATTCCCAGATCATGGGCATACATAATATCGTTGAGCAATAGGAACCATCCCTTGGCCGCACCCGGGCATCGATCAGCCTCCCATTGTATCTGTACAAGATGGAAATGCCTCTGGTACAGCTGTTGAAGGCTTCACGAACTACGTGATCTAAATGGATGTCAAATAATGTGGGAGCCAGAGGACATCCCTGTCGCACCCCAAGGTGAACAGGGGTGGCTCTGACCCCGGCCACGTAGTGTTACCCGGGCCCGCTCACCATCATGAATGTCCTTAATAATCGTGAGCAGAGGGTCAGGGACTCTGAAAGCATGAAGAACATCCCAGAGCCCAGGCCTATTGATGGTATCATAGGCCTTGACCAGGTCAATAAAGCAGAGATGCAGGTCTTGCTGGAATTCCCTACACCTCTGCTGTAGCAGATGTACAGAAAATATGGCATCTGTGCAGGAGCGCCCGTTCCTGAAACCGCATTGGGGCTCCGCAAGCCTCTTCTCAGTGTGCCTGGCAAAGCGATGTTGAATAATCCTTGCCAGGACCTTTCCCGGCACACTGAGGACGGAGATGCCCCTGTAGTTGTTACAGTCTGGGTGGTCCCCCGTCTTAAAGAGGGGTGGACCACCAGGACATCCTTCCAATCCTGCGGATTGTTATTATGATGTCATGTAGGGCAGTCTGTGCACAAACGCCACCCTCCCTCAGCAATTGGCTTGGGAGATCATCTCTGCCCGGTGCCTTTCCTGGTCTCAGACTCTGGATTGCCTTCAGTACTTCCTCATGCACACACACACACGCACACGCACAGAGGGCTCTCCACCCACCAAAGACTCTTTGTCTTTCATGGTTATGGTAGTGGTGGTGATGGTGGTAATAGTGGTAAAGGTGGTGATGGTTGTGGTATTAGTGGCGATCGTGGTGGTGATGATGGTGATGGCAGTAGTGGTGATGATGGTGGTGGTAATGGTGGTGATGGTGGTAATAGTGGTGATGGTGGTGATAATGGTGTTGATGGTAGTGGTGGTGATGATGGCAGTGGTGGTTATAATGGTGGTGGCAATGGTGGTAAAGGTGGTGGTAATAGTGGTGATGGTGGTTACAATGGCTATGATAGTGGTGGTGGTGATGATGGTGTAGTGCGCTGCGCCACAAACCCGGCGACTCGAGTTTGATTCCCCTTGATGGCCAAAACCAGTAACGATTATCTGAACCGGTCCGGGGCCTCCCCTAGGTCGATTCAGCCTAAAATTAGTATCTTGTGCGGTGTGTAGTAACATCGTCGCTGGGGAAATAACGGCGGCCGGGCGTGGTGCTGGCCACCCACCCTCTCGTGTGCTGTGCCAGCCTTCATAGGTCCTGCTATGCGCTAACAGCACTTGGCCAAACAGTCTGTTAAGGCTAGACGGGGGATCTTTGTCTTTAATGATGATGGTGGTGATGGTTGTGGTGGTGGTGGTGATAATGGTCGTGATGTTAGCGGTGATGATGACGGTAGTGGTGATGGTGATTATAGTGGTGGTGATGGTGTTTGTCACACCGTCTACAGGAGGTGGTGATGGTGGTGATGGTGTCTGTCACTCCTGTAGAGGTGTTACGGAGGGGGTGTTGTAGAGTTGTTACGGATGGGAAACAAACACACTGGGCGTGACTATGTCTGTACGCGAGGAGGTGCTTACAGCGACGACGTCCGCACTGTTCAGCCTGGGGGGCTGACACGGAGCTGGGATCCCCCGCGGCCCCACCCCTCAGTGGGGGAGTTGATATATGAGGCGGTGAGCCAGAGGGCTCGGGGCAGTGTTCAGCTTTAACCAGTGAAGAAAGAAGATCTGCTAGATAGGCCCTGGGACTCCCCTGGATTGCTGTCCTTCTCAGGGCCAACCAGGCAGAGCCAGTGGCGTGGCCCCGAGAGCCCAGAGCCGATGCTCTTATCAGAGCCGGTCTGGGGATTCAGGGTGCCGTAATCCCAGCTTAACCAGGGCTGGGTTAGCTAGCCTCCCCTAGCCCGGTAGTGGAGGACCTAGGAGTAGGCTAGCTGTGAGATAGTGTTGATCTCCCAGTTAGACTGGTGAAGGGGCCGATACCCCTTCAAGTGTTGTACATCCCGGCCTGTTCTGTACTTTGTACTTAATAAATAAGTGGGCCTCCAACTACGTCGTCCAAGTCTCCTTGAACCACACTACACTCCTACAGGAAGTGGCAATGGTGGTGATGGTGTCTTTCACTCCTACAGGAAGTGGCAATGGTGGTGATGGTGGTGATGGTGTCTGTCACTCCTCCTACAGGCGGTAGTGATGGTGGTGATGGTGTCTGTCACTCCTACAGGAGGTGATGATGGTGGTGAAGGTATCTGTCACTCCTCCTACAGGTGGTGGCGACGGTGGTGATGGTGGCTATGCTGAGCCTGACCTCACGAAGGCCGCCCCACGGCACGGCCGTGGTGCCGGTGACGGTGGTGATGGTGCCGGCACTGATGGGGGTGACGTGTTTCCCCGATCTGGCGCCCGCGTGCCGGCGCTGGACAGTGTTCCGCCGTATGCCGAGGCCGTCATCGTGTCCACTGGAGGTGGTAGACAGAGATGCACACACGCAGACATACACGCGCACGCACGCGCACACACGCGCACATACGCGCGCGCACACACGCGCACACACGCATACACACATGCACACACACACATATGCGCACACACACACGTACGCACACACACGCACATGCATGTACGCACCCACGCTCGCTCGCTCACTAACCCACCCAACTCTTCACTGTATGTATTTTTTACTTATTTTGCACCGCATATAGCCAACTATGCTAACCGGAGGTGCGACAGAAGGACAACAAACTAAACACCTTGACTCACTGACCCATTCTCTCACACAATCAACCACTCACTCACCCACTTGTCTATCCACTCTCCCACACACTCAAGTACCCACTCACCCAGTCACCCACTCACCTTCCCACCATCTCACTCACCTATCCACTCTCTCACACACTCAACCACCTACTCACCCACTCACCCACTCACCTACCCACCTTCTCACTCACTCACCTATCCACTCTCTCACACACTCAACCACCTACTTACCCACTCACCTATCCACTCTCTCACACACTCAACCACCTACTCACCCACTCACCTTCCCACCATCTCACTCACCCACTCACCTATCCACTCTCTCACACACTCAACCACCTACTCGCCCAATCACCTACCCACCATCTCACTCACCCGCTCACATACCCACCATCTCACTCACCCACTCGCTAACTCTCCCCCCCCCCCCCTACCAACAGTGACCCTGCCTGGTGCAGGGTGGGACGGGGTCTACGCCGTCCCCGTGGGGGGCAGCTGCGGCCCCCCCACCGAGTTTCCACGCCACTGCCTCAAGTTCCGTGAGAAGCTGGGAGAGGGGCAATTCGGAGAGGTGAGGCAGCTTCCTCCACCACCACTACAACCACCACGACCACTACAACCACCACCACTACCACCACTATTACCACCACCATCACAACCACGGCGGCCACTACCACCCCCACGACCACCATCACTACAACCACCACTACAACCACTACAACCACCACCACTATAACCACCACTATAACCACCACCACTGCCACGACAACCACCACTACAATCACCACAACCACCACCAATACAACTACCAAGACCACCATCACCACTACAACTACCAGCACAACCACCACCACGAATACAACCACCATTGTGATGACAACCACCACCACTACAACGACCACCACTACCACCACTACAACTACCACCACGACAGCCACTACCACCAGCACCACCACCACTACAACCACCACCACTACAACCACCACCACTACAACCACCACCACAAACACCATCACAACTACCGCCACCACCACCATTACCACTACCACCAGTAATGGTGGTAATAGTCGTGGTAGTGGTAGTAGTGGTAGTAGTAGTAGTCGTGGATTGTAGTAGTAGTAGTAATGGTAGTAGTAGTCGTGGTAGGAGTAGTGGTAGTAGTGGTGGTAGCAGTGGTAGTAGTAGTGGTAGCAGTGGTAGTAGTAGTGGTGGTAGTAGTAGTAGTAGTGGTGGTAGTAGTAGTAGTAGTGGTGGTAGTAGTAGTGGTAGTAGTGGTAGTAGTAGTGGTGGTAGTAGTAGTAGTAGTGGTAGTAGTAGTGGTAGTAGTGGTAGTAGTAGTGGTAGTAGTGGTAGTATTAGTCGTGATAGTTGTGGTAGTTGGTAGTAGTAGTAGTGGTGGTAGTAGTGGTGGTAGTAGTGGTAGTGGTAGTCGTGCTAGTAGTGGTGGTAGTAGTTGAAGTAGTGGTGCTACTACAGGCGGCCTCCGCACCTATGACCGAACTGGTTCCTGGACGGCGGCCGCGAGGGGAGCCGTTGTAAGTCAAACCATCATCTCCCATAGGCTCAATGTTATACATTGTGGTTCTGTTCCAGGAAACCCGTTAAATATCATAACAATACTAAAATTGACCACTAAAATAACACGAACAAACATTTATTGTAACTTAACATAACTTAACATAACAAACGTTTATTAAGTAAAAACAAACACATTTGAAAATCCTTAAGTAATTTTATGCACATTTCCACTTCTCAGACGTAGCAGCGAAAGGCAAAACGTTTCAGACTTTGAAGAAAATTGACAAAAAAGTGACGAGCGTTGCCTGAGAGATGCCGCTGTATTCGCTCTCAATGCCGCTGCAGACTATCCGGCTAAACTCTCCATGCGCATACAGCGGAAGAACAAAGCAGCGCCACCAGGCGGCGAGTCTGCGCATGACATATCGCCTGTACACTACACTACACACTACACTATATACTACACTACTATACACTACTATACCCTACACTACTATACACTACATACAACACTTATATACACTACACTAATATACACTACACTATACACTTCACTATACACTACACTAGGAGTCTACACATGATATGCGCATGACATGCCCAGACTTCTAGTCCCTCGGTGGTGGCTGGTTGTGGTGGTTGTTTGTGATGGTGGTTGTGGTGGCTGTTTGTGGTGGTTGTAGTGGTTGTGGTGGTGGTTGTAGTGGTTGTGGTGGTTGTAGTGGTTGTGGTGATGGTGGCTGTTTGTGGTGGTTGTAGTGGTTGTGGTGGTGGTTGTAGTGGTTGTGGTTGTGGTGGCTATTTGTGGTGGTTGTAGGTCCACCTGTGTGAAGTGGAGGGCATGGACCCAGACACGAGTGCGGCTCTTGGGCTCTGTTCATCCAATGGAAAGCCGGCGCTGGTCGCGGTCAAAACCCTGCACCCCGACGCATCCCAAAATGCCAAGTAAGTGAGAGGGAGAGAATGAGAGAGAGGGAGAGAGTCGGAGAGAGAGAGATAGAGGGATAAAGAGTTAAAGAGAGTGTGTGAGAGTGCATACAGTGAGGGAAAAAGTATTTGATCCCCTGCTGATTTTGTACGTTTGCCCACTGACGAAGAAATGATCAGTCTATAATTTTAATGGTAGGTTTATTTGAACAGTGAGAGACAGAATAACAACAACAAAATCCAGAAAAACGAATGTCAAAAATGTTATAAATTGATTTGCATTTTAATGAGGGAAATAAGTATTTGACCCCTCTGCAAACATGACTTAGTACTTTGTGGCAAAACCCTTGTTGGAAATCACAGAGGTCAGACGTTTATTGTAGTTGGCCACCAGGTTTGCACACATCTCAGGAGGGATTTTGTCCCACTCCTCTTTGCAGATCTTCTCCAAGTCATTAAGGTTTCGAGGCTGAAGTTTGGCAACTCGAACCTTCAGCTCCCTCCACAGATTTTCTATGGGATTAAGGTCTGGAGACTGGCTAGGCCACTCCAGGACCTTAATGTTCTTCTTCTTGAGCCACTCCTTTGTTGCCTTGGCCGTGTGTTTTGGGTCATTGTCATGCTGGAATACCCATCCACGACCCATTTTCAATGCCCTGGTTGAGGGAAGGAGGTTCTCACCCAAGATTTGACAGTACATGGCCCCGTCTATCGTCCCTTTGATATATACACATACACACAAACACATACACACACATACACACACATACATACACACAGACATACACATACACACAAACACACACATACACACAAAAACATAGACAATACACACACACATACATGCAGACACACAGACAGACACATAACACACATACATACACACACATACATACACATAAACACATCCACAGACGTACATACACACATACATACAGACACGCAGACATACACATAAACACATACAAAAAAACCCACATACATACACACACACATACACACAAACACATACACACACATACATACACACATGCATACAGACACACAGACATACACAAACATATACACACATACACATGACCCGGCTTCGCCCGGGACTTGGATCCACCACGCCCGGCCGCCTTTGTCTCCCCAGTGCCGATGTTAATACGCCACACCAGTTACTCGTTTGAGGCTGAGTCGACCTAGGGGAGGTTCAAATAATCGTCACCGGTGGTGGCCGTGAGCGGGAATCGAACTCGGTTCGCCAGGTTGGTAGCGCAGCGTAGCGTTAAGCACTACACCCACCGCTCCTCACACACCACACACGCACAGACACACACACAGACACACGCAGACACACACAGACAGACACAGACAGACACACACACACACAGACACACAGACAGCACGCTAAGCACTACACTACCGCTCCCCACACACCACACACAGACACACACACAGACACACACACAGACACACACACACAGACACACACACACAGACACAGACAGCACGCTAAGCACTACACTACCGTTCCCCCTACACAACACACGCGCGCGCGTCCATAGGTACACATACACGCGCTTGCTGCAGACACACACGACTTTCAGGGTGCGCACGGCAGTAAACGACTGCAATAATAAAGCGGCAATGCTGCGCGAGGAACGCCTTAGACCTGCAAGACATTTGTGTAATGCGAGCGTAAACACACAAACACATACACACACATACACACACATACATACACACACATACACACAAACACATACACACACATACACACACATACATACACACAGACATACACATACACACAAACACACACATACATAAACACATACACAATACACACAGACATACATGCAGACACACAGAGACACACATAACACACATACATACACACACATACATACACAGAAACACATACACACACACATACACATACATACACACACATATATACACACAAACACATACACACACGTACATACACACATACATACAGACACACAGACATAGACATAAACACATAAAAAAACCCACATACATACACACACAGACATACACACAAACACATACACACATACATACACACATACATACACAGAGACAAACACATACACACAAACACACACATACATACACACAAACACATACACAATACACACACACATACATGCAGACACACAGACACACACATAACACACATACGTACACACACATACATACACATAAACACATCCACAGACGTACATACACACATACATACAGACACGCAGACATACACATAAACACATACAAAAAAACCCACATACATACACACACACATACACACAAACACATACACACACATACATACACACATACATAGAGACACACAGACATACACATAAACACATACACACATACACATGACCCGGCTTCGCCCGGGACTTGGATCCACGATGGCCGGCCGCCTTTGTCTCCCCAGTGACGATGTTCACACACGACAGCAGTTACGCGTTTGAGGCTGAGTCGACCTAGGGGAGGCCCAGGTCCGTTTCAAATAATCGTCAGCGGTGGTGGGCGTGAGTTGGAATGGAACTGGGGTCGCTCAACCAGCTTAATGACTATTTGTACAAAGAACATATAAAGAATCGATTATAATAACCAGGCTACAGTCCACATTATAGACTGGCAGTACACGCACTCAGCTTCATAAGCAGGCTAGAGTGTACATGATAGAGTGGCAGTACGCTCACCGAGTTTAATAAGCAGGCTACAGTCTACATGATAGACTGGCAGTACGCTGACCCAGCTTAATGACTATTTGTACAGTGAACATTTAAGTAATCGATTGTTGGCGCGTTGGGTTTAAAAGTAATATAAATTGCACACATTGTGGTGGGGGTGGAGTGAATAGTAGGAAAAACTTTGATGAATTTACCTCAGAGTGGCGTGGTGGGTGTCGAGGCCTAGTAGCGTGCAGAGCTTGCGGCCTCGCCAAAATTGTCCAGCCGGCAAAGGCAGGGTACGGGTGGCGTGCCTTCCCCCCCCCTCAGTGCTCCAACAATACTGTGTAATGGCTATTATTTAATTATTTACGGAGCCTATGAAAGTGGCGAAGGCGTGGCTAGCCATTGGCAGGGGCAACTGACGTCCAATGAAACTGCAGCCCTTGGCGAAGGCGTCGCTAGCCGTTGCCAGGTCCAATGAAAGCGGCGAAGGCGTCGCTAGCCGTTGCCAGGGGCAACCGCCGTCCAATGAAAGTGCGTATGGTCCGAAATCCACACACACACACAGACAGACATGCACGATTTTATATTTATACTATATATAAAAACAGCCCAAGTATACCCACATACCCACATAAGGTTACATTTTGTCATTGCACATCTCTATTTCACAATCAATTGTAAACACTATTACTTAATAATTAATTAGCATTATTGAGTGTGGTGATCGCTGTAGGATAAAAGCTCTGTTTGAATCTGTTTGTCCTTGTTTTGACTGATCTGAATCGTCTGCCTGATGGCAACAGCTCAAACAGTGAGTGTCCAGGGTGAGAAGAGTCCTTTATAATGTTCTGTGCTTTTTTGATTCAACGTGAACTGTGTAGTTCTTCCAGTGTGGGGAGATGGCAGCCGGCGATCTTTTGGGCTGTGTTGATGACCCTCTGGAGCGCTTTCCTCTGAGCCACTGTGCAGCTGGTGTACCATACACAGATGCAGTATGTAAGAATGCTCTCGATGGAGGCTCGGTAGAAGGACACCAGCAGTTTCTGTGTGATGTTATTATTCCTGAGAATTCTCAGGAAGTAAAGTCTCTGCTGGACCTTTTTCAGAAGCTCAGTGCTGTTGGCGCTCCAGGTCAGGCCCTCCCCAATGTGGACTCCCAGGAAGCAGAAGTCTGCCACCCTCTCCACACAGTCCCCGCTGATGATTAGTGGTGGAGTGTCCGTTTTCTTTCTCCTGTAGTCTATTATGAGCTCCTTGGTCTTTGCGGTGTTAAGGAGCAGGTTGTTGCCCCTGCAAGTATGCTGTCAGCCGCTCCACCTCGTCCCTGTAGGCAGACTCATCCCCCCCAGAGATGAGCTCCACCACTGTGGTGTCATCAGCAAACTTCACAATGGTGTTGCTATGGTGGACGGCGGCACAGTCATGTGTGTAGAGGGAGTAAGTTGTCCTGTCCCCTTAGCAGAAAAACACCCCCAAAGCATAATGTTTCCACCTCCATGTTTGACGGTGGGGATGGTGTTCTTGTGGTCATAGGCAGCATTCCTCCTCCTCCAAACACGGCGAGTTGAGTTGATGCCAAAGAGCTCCATTTTGGTCTCATCTGACCACAACACTTTCACCCAGTTGTCCTCTGAATCATTCAGATGTTCATTGGCAAACTTCATACGCGTGTAATAAAAGATTCCGTCAGGTCATGCTGGTCTCCGTTTGTCTTTTATTCAGGTTCTTCTCCGCACCCCCACTGGCCACTTCTCGGACCAGTGTCGTCTCGCGCGCGCCCCGCGCACACTCCCTCTCGCGTGCCACGCACGCTCTCTCTCTCGCTTGCTACGCACGCTCTCTCTCGCGTGCCCCGCACACTCCTCCGTTAGCTCCTCTATTCCCGCACTCCGCACACCGCTGGCCGACAGCGTGTTGAGGTCCTTCGGCCACGTGGCCGATGGCGCGGATCTTTCTTCACCACCCAACGTGGCTCAGCCTCTTAACTTCCCCGACTGCCCCCATCTCTTCCGGGCTCCCACTTATATCCATTCCCCCCACGTGACCCTGACTCCCGCCTCCCGGATCGTCAGATCCGGCCTTCCCATACTACCCCGCTGGCTCCGCCCCCATTCACCTCGCCTCCCATTGGAGCCGAGGTGAACGGTGGCCCCTTCCACACGCCCCGCAGACCAGGCTCCGCCCCCCAATGCCCCGGGCCGCGTGTTTGGACCAGAGGCCAGCAACAACCCCATTTACGCTCGCATTACACGGGCATGTATATGTGCTTTCTTGAGCAGGGGGACCTTGCGGGCGCTGCAGGATTTCAGTCCTTCACGGCGTAATGTGTTACCAACCGTTTTATTGGTGACTATGGTTCCAGCTGCCTTGAGATCATTGACAAGATTCCCCCGTGTAGTTCTGGGCTGATTCCTCACCGTTCTCATGATCATTGCAACTCCACGAGGTGAGATCTTGCATGGAGCCCCAGGCCGAGGGAGATTGACAGTTCTTTTGTGTTTCTTCCATTTGCGAATAATCGCACCAACTGTTGTCACCTTCTCACTAAGCTGCTTGGCGATGGTCTTGTAGCCCATTCCAGCCTTGTGTAGATCTACAATCTTGTCCCTCACATCCTTGGAGAGCTCTTTGGTCTTGGCCATTGTGGAGAGTTTGGAATCTGATTGATTGATTGCTTCTGTGAACAGGTGTCTTTTATACAGGTAACAAGCTGAGATTAGGAGCACTCTCTTTAAGAGTGTGCTCCTCATCTCAGCTCGTTACCTGTATAAAAGACGCCTGGGAGCCAGAAATCTTTCTGATTGAGAGGGGGTTAAATACTTACTTCCCTCATTAAAATGCAAATCAATTTATAACATTTTTGACATGCGTTTTTATGGATTTTGTTGTTGTTATTCTGTCTCTCACTGTTCAAATTAACCTACCATTAAAATTATAGACTGATCATTTCTTTGTAAGTGGGCAAACGTACAAAATCAGCAGGGGATCAAATACTTTTTCCCTAACTTTCGGTGCTCTAGCTGTGGCCTGGCGAGGCTGGTTGTTGTTGTAATAATTACCGGCGAAACGTCGCGGTAACTCCAATTGTAAATTTTGACTCAACACTTTCGTGACTGCAGGAATTCATATTCGAATTGAAAATGTAGTGGGGTTTACTCTCCAACACATAACCAGTTAGTGCTGTACTAGTATACTGCACTATACACTACACTATACACTATGCTATAATTGTAAATGTAGTAGTGGATATACTCTCCCAACACACAACCGGTTAGTGCTGAAGTAAGTAACGAATTGGCACGTTTTGTTTACATGATAAACCTTACTAATGGGCTGTGTCGTTTGGTGGCAAGTTTAACGACACATTTATCTCTTTACGATCTAACCCAACAAAGCCTCTTTAATGCATAGGCGCTGCTCGCTAACGGCACTTGCCCCAAAAGTCTCTTTAGGCTGTGCAGCGGGCCTTTGCCCTTTGTGCGTGAGATAGAGTGCGTGAGCTTGTGATTAAGCGCGAGCGAGTATGTGCGAGTGTGTGAGAGAGTGAGTAAGAGTGTGTGTCAGTGAGCGCTTCCGGCAGGCGAGGCCACGTTGGCTGGATCATGTAGTCCAGAGCCTGGCCATCGCATGTCCAAGCAGCTTCTGTTTGGCCACATAGAGGGAATTAAACGGGCGCAGCACGAGCTCCAGAAGAGATGGAGCTGATGCGGCACATAAGGATGTGGAGCTGCGTGGATTTGCCATTGAATGTTACAAGTGGTGTCAAGATTGGCCCCTGTGAAAGAGGCTTGTGAAGGACGTTGCTACCGGGCAGTTGGAGGCAGTCGCCCTCCAGCAAGAGTGGAGGGCAAAGGAGCGGTGCTCACAACAACGAGTGGAGTGATGGGTGGCTAAAACACAGCAATTTGGCACGGTAGGGGGCACAGGTGGTGCATTGGCCACTCGTCTCATTCAGTCAACCCATGACCGTGACCTCCTGCCAGCAGCAGTGAGCCTTTGACACGTCACGTGATGGCCTCAAACTGCACCTAGCTTGGCACACGCGCCGTGGTGAGGTCGCCGCCACTTCGTGGCGAACGGCGACAGTTGTTGCCATTGTGTATTTGTGCGAGCAATGACGACGACGATGATGATGGCGACGTCACCACAGGAGCGACTTTCTCAAGGAGGTGAAGATCATGTCTCGAATGTGCGACCCCAACGTGATGCGGCTGATCGGCGCTTGCCTGGACGCGCCGCCACTCTGCATGATCACCGACTACATGGAAGGGGGAGACCTCAACCAGTTCCTCTCCCGCCACCGGCTGGCGGAGCCGGGCACCCCACAACCAAACGGGATCCCCGCCACCCCCTCCATGGCGCCCCTGATCTGGTATGATGCGTGGCGCGTTGAACGCGCATGACGCAATTCTAATTCCGCCGCCGGATGACTCCGTCCATCGCTCACACCATCACACCTCTCCCTAACATCACACCACCATCACACCTGTAACCAATAATCACAACACCACAGCACCTCTCCTTACCATCACCCACGTGGTCACCCTCGTGATCACTCTCGTGGTCACCCCCGTGGTCACCCCCATGGTCACCCCCGTGGTCACCCCCGCAAGTGGCCGGTGTGTAGCAGCGAGAGCGCTTAATGCAAATGCCGTCGCGAGAGGTCACTCGTTTGGGGCAACGGTCCTTCGGTGACTCTGCGCTGTAGATGGATGAGTGATGGAGCTATGCACTTTTACGTCGTCTAGATTGACAAATTAATGTCTTTAGAACTGCTGCTTGTTCAAGTTTGTTGTGCTTTACCTGCACCTCAGATTTGCGCGGTTGGCTACGTACGGTGCGAAAGAAGTTCAACATACATACACAATACACATAGACTACCAAGAGACTCAACACTACCCATAGACTCAACACTGCCCATAGACTCAACGCTACCCATAGACTCAACACTGCCCATAGACTCAACACTGCCCATAGACTCAACACTGCCCATAGACTCAACACTGCCCATAGACTCAACGCTACCCATAGACTCAACACTGCCCATAGACTCAACACTGCCCATAGACTTAACATTGGCCATAGACTCAACACTACCCATAGACTCAACACTGCCCATAGACTTAACACTGCCCATAGACTCAGCACTGCCGATAGACTCAACACTGCCCATAGACTCAACGCTACCCATAGACTCAACACTGCCCATAGACTCGACACTGCCCATAGACTCAACACTGCCCATAGACTCAACACTGCCCATAGACTCAACGCTACCCATAGACTCAACACTGCCCATAGACTCAACACTGACCATAGACTTAACATTGGCCATAGACTCAACACTGCCCATAGACTCAACACTGCCCATAGACTCATCATTGCCCACAGACTCAACACTACCCATAGACTCATCATTGCCCATATGCCTCAACACTGCCCATAGACTCAACACTGCCCATAGACTCAACACTGCCCATAGACTCAACACTGACCATAGACTCAACACTGCCCATAGACTCAACACTGACCATAGACTCAACACTGACCATAGACTCAACACTGCCCATAGACTCAACACTGACCATAGACTCAACACTGCCCATAGACTTAACACTGCCCATAGACTCAACACTGACCATAGACTCATCATTGCCCATATGCCTCAACACTGCCCATATATTGAACACTGCACCTTCGTTTTAGCACGGTTGGCTATGCACGGTGCAAAACAAGTTCAACACACACACATACGCAGCTGTCCCTATCATCACACCACCATGACTCCTTTGCCGCCACCCATCACCCCCCCCCCCCCCCCCCCCCCGTGCGTCTCTCCCATGGTGGCAGCGGGGAGCGGCTGCTGTGGGTGGCGGTGCAGGTGGCATCCGGTATGCGTCACCTGGCCACCCTGGGCTACGTGCACCGAGACCTCGCCACGCGCAACTGCCTCGTGGGCACCGCCGCCGGCACGCTGAGCGTGCGCATCGCCGACTTCGGCATGAGCCGTAACCTCTACCAGGGTGACTACTACCGCGTGCAGGGCCGTGCCGTGCTGCCCATCCGCTGGCTCGCCTGGGAGAGCATCCTGCTGGTGAGAGGGTGAGAGAGAGGGTGAGAGAGAGCGTGAGAGAGAGGGTGAGTGTACCTGGGAGAGCGTCTTGCTGGTGAAAGAGAGGGTCAGAGTGAGGGTGAGAGAGAGCGTGACATGGAGATTGAGGTGAGATGGAGAAGGTGAGAGAGGGTCAAAATGAGAGTGCCTGGGAGAGCATTCTGTTGATGAAAGACAGAGAGAGGGGAGTCACCGATTCCTAGCCTCATCCATCCTTAAATGCATTGTCCTCCTGTCACTATACACGAACGTCCATATGTGGAACCTCTTTTTCACCGTACCTGGCCAACCGTGCCAATGTAACCATTCAGCGGCAAGTTGACAACCTCTGCGAGGAGCTTGAGATCGGTCAGAAGTCTGAAAAGAAAACCTTTTTTTATTTTACCAGGTGAGGCCCACTGAGCTACCGTGTAGATTTTTTTCAGAAGCGACCTGGCAAGCAACTGATAGCTCAACGAAGTAGCTTATCATCATCACGTGCATATTTATACCAGCCAGATACTCTAAATACGTGATGTCGATTCTAAATGTGGAGGGAAAAACCAGAGGACCCAGAGACAAAAATCACGTGACCACCGGGAGAGAACGGCAGGCAAACTCCAAATATACAGCGGGCGTCGTCAGGGTTGGGATCGAACCCCCGACCACCTGCATACCAGGCGAGGAAGATGACATCTCTTAGCCACTGTCGTGTTCCTTTAATAAATAAATAACGTGTTTAAGTTCTAATTAAATAATCAATTCCCAAGGTTTGGAAAGGCAGTAAAACGACAGCATAAAGTCCCAGACCACACCAAGACAACACACAGTGCCTAAACAAAAATTGTACATTAAAATGTTACAATTTTTATGTAAAAATTTTTTTTATTGAATGTACACTAAACTTGAACAAATAAGCACAACTAATGTACATTTTTTTTTATTGAGGGACCGTGTGGGATCATACGGCAGCTGGTTTCAGTGACGCAGATCATATTCGTTTGGCAGCAAAAACAGCCCCAGACCACACCAAGACGCACGGTCCCCTCAATAAAAACAAAATTGCACATTTAAATTGTTCAAATTGTTCAATTTCGGTGTGGTCTGGGACTGTTTTTGCTGCCAAACGAAGACTGTGTCAGCGAAATCAACTGCTGGATAATCCCTATGGAGTTGCATGCCGAAGAAAGTGACTGTGGATAGAATCCTGAAGGAGACGGAGCAGGTAAAAGCAGCTGATGAGCGAGCAAGTGGGCTTTCGGCCAGGCCATGGCACGTCATCTCAGATCGCCATCCTCAAGGATCATCGTGGCCAACACCAGAGAAGCCCAGTAGCAGCGACTCTGCATGTGCTGCGTGGCCTTTGCTGAGGCCTCCAACTCAGTACACCAATCAGTCAAACTTTACCTACATAGCACAATTGGTGCAAACAATGCAATACAACATGCTTTACAGGACTGAATGAAGTAACTGCCACAATGTAAACAACAATAATAATGTTTATTTATAAAAAAACGACATCACATTGTAATGAACTAAAAGTATAATACAATGCATAATAAACACGTAATAGAAGCATCCCAAATTAAAAGTCAATGCGAGTGTTCTCCTCCAAGCTGACCCCAGCAGCATTGAGGCGATACTCTGATGGACCAGCCACTGCATGCACGTCCCTTTCTCCTGGCTCTCCGACGGGCAGCAGTGGACGATGGGAGGGACAAAGGAAAGCGCTTCATGGATAACTTTGAATGTCCTCCCTGAAGCACATAACCATATCGGCCTTCGAGACGGTGAGGAGCAGCAGCCTGCCTACCACCTCAGGGTGACTCCGCTGTGGGGAGATGTTAACTACCTTGCCTGGTATGGAGGAGGTCGTGGGCTCCATTCCGACCCAAATGCTGCCTGCTGTACATTTGGAGTTTGCATGTCTCTCTCCCTGTGGCCGCGTGGATTTTTCTCTGGGTCCTCCGGTTTTTCCCTCCACGTTTAGAATTGACATCACCATGCGTTTATAATATTTGGCTGCTGCTGAAAATGTATCACATGTTGATGATGATATAAAGCCTACTTAGTTAAGGTCTCGGTTGTGATGGGCAGGTCGCTTCTGGAAAAAGAGCTCTATAGCTCAGTGGGTCTTACCTGGTAAATAATTTTTTTTTAGTAGTTTAAGTAGTATTCACCAGACCATGCAGGCGGGCCCACTGCGAGAGCCAATGCCAAAGTTTTAATCACCGGCAAAGCAAGAAAGAAGGAAGGAATTCGACTCGGCACCGCTGATCTCCACCTGGTATCACACGTGGCGCCTGCGTCCACCACACTTTGCTTGCTCAGACGCCCTTGCGAGACTGGGCAGCAACCGACGAGCGTCGGTGCGGCTCCTCGCCTTGCGAAGGGAGGAGGGAGGGCTCCATCAGCGCACTCTTTGACCTCTCGTCACATTTTGTTTATAGTTCTCGGCAGGAACTGGCCGTGACAAAGGGGCCAATTTTATTTTTTTGATTTTGAAGTGAGGCGAGCTGCTCGTAAGAAGGCCGCAGGATCTCCAACTTGAGATGTGCGGACGGCATTTAGTCCTTCTGGCAAAGCTCGACAGGGGGACTCCGGGAAGTGATTGACCATTTAGTCACGGCCTGGATAGAACACGATCCTGTTGTCAATATCGACACGAGACTCAAATCTTGTCCTTGAAGCGGGCTGCAAAGAGCGTCTGTGTGGAAGGCAAGAAAGTCTCTGTAACTTGGCTCAGCCACGATACCTCGCCGATCTCATCAAGGAGCATAAACCAACATCACGCAAACTGCGGCCTTCATCGCAGCAGCAACAGTGGCTTTTGGCTCAGCCATCGAACAAAGACGGTGGTAACTGCATCGTGCAGTTTCAGATGTGCTTTTGCGGCCATCTGGAATGCTTTTCCTTTCCGATATTCGGAAGCTCCTGGAGCTATGCACTTTGAAATCGTCATCTAAATTGAAAACTCATTTCCTTAGAACAGCTTTTGTGTATAGTTTGTTGTCCTACCCCCGCACTTCCGATTAGCACGGTTGGCTATGTACGATGTGAAAGACGTTCAACATACATACAGTTGGCTACGTATGGTGTGAAAGAAGTTCAACACACATATAATTGGCTAAGTACGTTGAAAAATAAGTTCAACACATACAGTTGGCTACGTATAGTGCAAAATAAGTTCAACATACATATAATTGGCTATGTATGTTGCGAAAGAAGTTCAACATACAAACAGTTGGTTACGTATGGTGCAAAAGAAGTTAAACATGCATACATAATCACCATGACCACCATCATTATTGTTGTTTCACCACCACCATCATCACAATCACCACCATCAGCAGCGTTATCACCACCACTGCCATCATCATCATCATCACCACCACCGTAAAACTTTCCTGGGTAACTGGCATCATCATCATATTTTTGTTTCTTCTCTGCGCCTCTCCCTGCTCCTGCCCCCGTGATGTCGCCACGCTGCAGGGCAAGTTCACCGGTGCGAGCGATGTGTGGGCGTTCGGCGTGACGCTGTGGGAGGTGTTCACGCTGTGCCGCACGCAGCCATACTGCGGCATGACGGACGAGCAGGTGGTGGAGAACGCCGGGGAATTCTTTCGCAACCAGGGAAAACAGGTGACGGACACGGCCGCAACCGTGCGGAGCAACCACACGATGCAACCATGTGGCACAACCACGCAGCACAACCACGCAGAGCAACCACGTGGCACAACCACGTAGAGCAAACACGTGGCACAACCACACAGTGCAACCACGTGGCACAACCACGTGGCACAACCGCGTGGCACAACCACACAATTGATTTTGGAGTGGCCCTTTATCTGGTCTCAGGCTCGAGATTACTCTTCGCACTTCATCAACAGATTGAAAATCAGTCGGCCACGAACAACGGGTGACTATTTCCCCCCATATTTGACGCACAGCAGCCCCAGCAGGGTGCAACCCCCACCTTGCCAACCCCATGATGTTTTCTGACCTGCGGGGTTTCTCCTTTCCCGAGACCTCACAGAAACTCACACACAAAGAAAAACACCCCCGTATAGACATAACAGACTATTGGGGCAAGTTATTTTAGGGAGTAACACCTATGAAGGCTGGCACGGCATATGAGGCGGTCGGTGGTGAGCACCACACCCGACCACCTTTGTCTCCCTAGTGGTGATGTTTACTTAACACCTCACTCGATACTCACTTGAGGCTGATTCGACCTGGAGGAGGCCCAGGACCGGCTCAGATAATCGCCACTGGTGTTGGCCATGAGCGGGAATCGACTCGGGTCACCAGGTTTATAGTGCATCGCGCTAACAACAACATTCCTGCGTCACACACACCAATACCCGCCATTCACCATTAGTGACAGTGACGTCACCACGGTGCTAGGTGCAATTTGAGGCCACGTGAAGTGTCGAAGGCTCACTGACAGGAGGTCTCGGGGCAGACCCAGATTGGCCAAAATTTGGTGCTTCCGCGTGCATAGCGCAAACACTGTACCGTTAGTCAACATTTTAACGTGAGGCGAAAACGTTAACCGCAAAAACCGTCAACCGGTCACCTTTACAGGAGAGACTCCTGTCATTTTGATTCTGACTTGGACTAAGAATACAGGCATTGATCGGTCTGTGGATTTTATCGACTTAGTCCATTCGATGATGACGACACTGACGCCCGTGCCTTTATTCTTGCATTGACATCTGCGTCGTGTGATCCTTTCACCTATCTCCCACCCCCCCAGGTGTTTCTGCCAGAGCCGGAGGCTTGTCCTGAGCGCGTCCGGGCACTGATGCTGCGCTGCTGGGTGCGCGACGCCGCCCAGCGTCCCGACTTTGGCGAGATTCATCGCGCGCTGAGTGCCGAACGGAACACGTGCCTACGTGACACCGCGACGCCCCAGCGGAGCCATCCATTGACCTCCATCGCCTGAAGACCAATGATGATGATAATACAACAACAATGATGATGATGATGATACAACAACGATGATGATGATAATACAACAACAATGATTATGATAATACAATAACGATGATACAACAAGTATTATGATAATACGACAGAATTTCAACAATCTGCATTGATCTTGTGGTGGGGGGGGGGGGGGGGGGGCAGAGGGTGTGCCGTATCATCGCAGAACCTGAAATTCGCAGAACACCGCCGATGTCAGGCTTATATATTGTGCAACGAAATTGTCTGTGCCTCCATGGTGTGCCACGGATTATAGGAGGGAAGAACTGCACGATGTCCATGAGTCCATGAAATGTTTTTGGATTCCAGTGACTCGTGACTCAAGTAATCAGTGGATTACACGAAGCGCCACACGTGACCCGCGACTAAAGTAATTCTCGATAAATGTTTGGATTTCTAGTAAAACACTTTTTTAGACTTTGATTTGGAAGTCTTCGAAAAAGAAATGGAATTTTTTTCTTCTTCCGCTTAACGAGTCACGTCAGTTAAAGCCAGTCCGCGGATACAACACCAAAATGATAAAGCTCGGGAACGACTTCGCCGTCACAGATTTCCCTGCAGCTCTGAATTATCCCCCGTCCACTTCCACAGATCGCGGCTCTGCAGCCCGCGAAGTGTTTTCCACTCTGCCGTGGTGTACCACGGATTACAGAAGCAACAATAGAGATTGAGTTCGTCGTCACGTGCCGTGCTTACCCTGTAATCTGCACATTTTTTCACAAATTTCATTCTTCCCATGATCCATGACATCACCAAGTCGGTGCTCATGATTTCATGAATGATAAAACGATTGTCCCACCAGAGAAGAACCAGATTCCAGGTGATGCGTTGATATGTTCCCCCGATATTCACGCGGATTATTTGATTTATTTTTCAACAGCAGCACAGATGGATTTTGTCACGTGTTTATTTCACGTATATGATTCACATATCCCATAAGAAAACTGGAATTTTATGTTCTCATTAGTAGAAAAACTGCTTGGATATTAACTCGAAAGTTCACCTTATTTGCTTCTTTAAAATGCCTTAAAAATTTTAAGTATAGGTCGCAGTGTACACAGGAAGTTGTGGATTTTATCCCGACCCTGATGCCTGCTGTATATTCGGAGTTTTCATCTTTCTCTCTCCCCGTGGTCGCGTGGATTTTTCTCCGGGTCCGCCAGTTTTTCCCGCCACCTTTAGAAACACACGTGTAAAGTGTTTGGCTGCTATACATTTCCACACGATGATGATAAGCCACTTCGTTGAGCTATTATTTGTGATAGCCATGGTCACTTCTGAAAAAGAGATACGACATAGCAGCTCAGTGGGGCCTTACCTGGTAAAATTAAAAGAATGTTTTAAAAATTCTTCTCAGATCCCGACCCCCCCCACCACCTCTGTGCACCCAGCAGTGTAAATGGGTCACTACAGTCCACCGGCAGGTCTTTTTACGTGGGATTCATTTTGTCTGGCTGGTATGGAAGAGTAGGCCAAATGCCTCCAGTGGAGGTCCTTGTGCCTGAAGCGGTGTGAGAATGCAATTTGCAGGGCTGTGCCCCATTGCGTTTTCTTTTAGGCCGAGCACGTGCCCTTGCATGCCTAGATCCCCTAACCTGCTGTGTGGAGCTGGTGTCCAGGCAATGGGGGAGGGCTGGGGCAGGGTCTCTCGGGCCCTGCTCATAGGCTGCCCTGTGTTAATCATTAGAGCTGAGGCCTTTATGTGGCCATCATGGCTTCTAATGGGCTAGGAACGTGAAAACTTTGTAAGACGAAAGTAGTTGGGCTGCGGTGATTAGCACGTTGAAGAATGTGATGTTACGTCCAGGATGTTTGCACGGTTTATCTTCAGCTCATGGCTTCCCCTCAGACTAAGGGACATTTAGGCCAGACAGCCCTTATTAACTTCGATTATGAATTCCTTGTCCGACTATCCATCAAACAAAGATGGTCACGTCAATGCGCAGCTCTTTCAGATGCGATTCCGCGGCCGTCTGGAACGCTCTTTTGATATTAGGAAGCCACTGGAGCTATGCACTTTTAAATCATCATCTAGATTGAAAAACTCATATCTTTAGAACTGCTTTTTGTGTTTAGTTTGTGATCCTTCCCCCGCCACACTTCAGATTGGCATGGTTGGCTACGTACAGTACAAAAGACGTTCAGCATACATCCGTACAATCCCTTCACTTGTTTATAGGTCTTTTCACCTCAGCCTGAGTTAGGGATGCCACCTGTTCTGATTTTTCCACGATCGTCCCCTTGTCTACGAATTAGGTTCTAGGTTGTTTTCTCGTCAAGGTGACAACACCATAGCTACCCAACGATCCCTTTACCTGGCTCAGGTCTTTCTTTAACTTGTTTATTGAGCCTTAACATGGCCTAAGGCATTCCTTTAATTTTTCTAACCCAGCCTTAAGCGCCATTTACCTGTGAACCCTGAACTTTGCCTTCCCTTAACTTGCACTGTGGTGCCCTTTAATTTGAATTCAGGCATATTTTATCTTTGGTTTCCCAATGGCCTTCTAAGGGTTCCTTAGCCTAAGATTCACATCGATTCTTTTTAGACTTGTTATTTTCATCTAAGGCTGCCTTCGCTTGAGAGCCCAATTACTGAACTCGGACTAACGTTCCTAACATATCAATACTGCCAGTGGTAGTGAACGCTGTTTTTTTAATATACTGTATTTCCACGTCTTTCTTTAGGCTAAGTTAAGTGAGATATATTGCGACGAACGCTGTAAATGTTTTAATCCACGTGCTGGTGCACACGTAAGAGAGCGTTAATGTATTAACGTGGCTTTGTATTCGTTTCTGCTGGAAGCTACTGTCATTTTATATGCAATAGTCCCTCGGTTAACGGTGACTGTCGGTTAACGTTTTTTTGTGAATGTTTCGCCTCCCATAGGGACCCCCATGGTCTAGACCAGGGGTCGGCAACCTACGTCTCCGAAGCCGCATGCGGCTCTTTACAGGCTGCTTCTTGACGATATGTACGTATGTACAGTATGTGCTCAGATGCATTGCGGCTCTTGAAATACTGAATTTTGTACCGAATTGGAAAGAAATGGCTCTTCTTGTTATTTTGGTTGCCGACCCCTGGTCTAGACTGACCTTAACATGTTGACTAACGGTACCATGTTTATGTTATGCACGCAGTGGCGCCTATTTCAGCCAATCCGAGCACCCATAAGTGGGGCTGAGCCATGCCCTCAGCCAACGTCATTCCTGTACTCGATTAACATGGATTTCGGTTAACTTAGTTTTTTTCGTGGAATGTATAAAAAAAACGTGAACTGAGGGACTACTGTAATTTTTATATTTCCATTCGCTGCTATGATAGAATTAGCGCTTGCCACCAGGCCAAGTTAAACCATACGTAGGTATTGCCGGGTCTGCAGGATGGCGCAGTGGTCACCCTTGCGCCTCACAGGAAGAAGGGCCTAGGTTACATACGCAGGTGCCTTTCTCCATGTAGTTTGTTGCGTGTTCTCTCCTTGTTCTATTTGGGTTCCCCCCCCCCCCCCCGGAATTACAATTGGGATTACACGTTACTCCCCTACTGTGAAAACTTGGCAGGATTCTCCTAAAATAAAATTTATTTTGTGGGTAAATGAGCATCACAATAAAAACAATTGCGCAGCCTGGAATGATCATGTCTGCTGTCGTCCTTCCACCGTCCCTCCGGTTATTGCGGTTGGCTACGTACTGTGCGAAAGAAGTTCAATGTACACATACATAGAGAGACCCATAGACTCACACAGACCCATACTTGATTGTTCTTTCCTCCGTGCCTCCGATTACCACGGTGCGAAAGAAGTTCAATGTAAATACGTATGTAGATTCCCACACAGAGGCCCATAGACTCACACAAAGACCCATAGTGTGTTGTCTTTCCACAGCACCTCTGATTAGCGCGGTTGGCTATGTACGGTGCAAAAGAAGTTGAACATACACATGTAATGAGCGACTTCCGCGACACCTCGTATAGAGGGTACTTATTTTAGTCATATACGGGCACAACACAGGACAACCCTATCTCTCACTGAGTACAACACTGGATGTTAGCGTCTCTATGGGTTACACACACACGGCCGATCACTCGGCGTGGTTCCACCGTCCGCACTCTTTCACGCCGTTGGCTGGCGGCGTGCTGGGAATGGTGATGGAAGCCGCAGGAGATCTTCCACGTGGCCGGACGACGGAGAGAGATGACGGCGAGCAGCGATGCATTCTGGACCCAAGACTCCACACACGAACCCCTGAGTCCTCCTCTGCTACTTCTTATATCACCACAAGCCCGGCTAGGCTCTGCCTCTGGCCACGCCCTATTGTGGAAACTACGAGCGGGTTCCCGTAGTATCCTGGCCAGCCCTGCCCATTACCTTTGGCCCAGATACCTCTCCCTTTTGGATTGGATGTTGTTTTAGCGGTGCCTGTACCCGTGCTTCCCTTTTCTAACCAGCAGGTTGTCATCATGTCATTACACATGTGTAGTGGTGATACACGCTGGGGTAAGGATCGTGTGCCAGCGCGTAGTGATTGGCTGTGTGTGTTGGTGACGCGCGCTGACGGTGAAGGATCAGGGGTCAGCGCGGGGTCAGGGGTTATGAGGCGGTGATTGGCTGGGTATCGGTGACGCGCGCTGACAGCGAGGGGATCCTGAGGCAGCGCGTGGGGATTGGTCAACTAAGGGGGGTGCTCACGTCGAGGTCCGCATACGCTCCGTCTCCCGGGAGCGGAGGCTATATAAGGCGGTGCGCACAGGCGCACGGGGAGTTGGTGACCAGCGAAGACTGAAGACAGAGGAGAAAGAAATAGGGCCCTGAGGCACCTAGTCCCGCTGTCCTTGTAAGGACCGGGGCCCTGTGTGACTCAGCGGCGGGACCTTGGGACCCGGGGCCGAACGTCCGTGTGAGGGCCGGCCCGCGGGACCCAGAGGTTGTGACCCACGCCCAAGTTGGGGTGGGCCTGTAGGCTCCACGGACACTACGGGGCTGGAGTGGCTGTGAGCGTGCAGCGTGAGTGTGTAGTGTGAGCCGTAGTAACCACACGTGTCAAGTGGAGTGTGTAGTGAGAGAAGTAGTGACCACACGTGTCAAGTGGAGTGTGTAGTGCGAGGAATAGTGACTACACGGGTTATCGTGAGAAGACAAGGTTTAATAAAAAGTGTGCTACCGTCAAGTGGTTTTCTGCCGTCATTCCGAATACTTCAACTGGCGTCAGAAGTGAAACTCTTCCAGGCATGGATACAAGGAAGACTCGTCGGACTCACGGGATTGACCGCGAGGATAACCTCGACGACTCGGGCCAGCTGGCATCAGGGGGAGAGGACGAGGAAATGCCGACGCCGCAGGACCCGCCGGGGGCGCCGGACGAGCGACTGGGGGCTGATGCCGGACTCCGCGAGGCGCACTCCCGTCTGGCGGAGCTGCTGCTTGCCGTGGCGGGAGGAGCGAGGACGTCGGCGGACATTCAACAGGGTCGCCCCGCAGATTCCCGCCAAAATGACTGGGCAGTTCCCGCCATTTCAACAGCGCGGACATCTTTTGGCGGGAACGGCGAGCAACACGTGGCGGCGGTTCTCCAAGCGCGCCCGCTTACGTCATCAGCGCGCGCTACGGACCGCCATCAGCCACCCGCCATTGGGGCCGCCATCTTGCAGACCGACAGGGCGGCGGAGAGGAACCACGTGGCAGAGGACGACTTCATCTTCCAGCAGCGCCTTCCCACGTTGTCAGCCTTCAAGGCGGAAGGCGGGGACTGGGGCGCATTCCAACGCAGGTTTCTGGCGCATCAGGAAATGTCGGCCTGGTCCGACGCTACGGCGCTGCGGGCACTGCCTGCCATGTTGGACGACGACGCGCTCGCGGCCTTCAGGTCCGCACAGAGGTCGGACTGCTCCACGCTTAAGGCTGTGCTGGGCCTCATGGCCAAGGTCTATGGACCTCTTTCGGCTTGTCGCCATCACTTTTACGACTGACGGAAGGCGGACACGGAGACCACGCTCGCCTACCGCACGGCGTTGTTGGCTCTCGCCGACGCCGCGTTCCCTCGTATGGACGAGGAGGGCCAGGATGCGATGGTCTTGGAGCAACTGCTCAAGTTGGCGCATGACCTGGGGGTCCCCATCAACACGGCCGACGAGGTCGATATTTCTTCCTTGCGGGTCGCAACAAGTATACAGGCGCACGAGGTCCTCAAGCGTAAACAGGGGGTCGTCTGCACTGCTGCCGTGGCCTCAGCTCCGGGCCCGGTGGTCACCGAGCCCCAAGTCGTCTGCCCACGAGAGGAGGCGTTCACCACTGGACGACCGGGGGACTGGAGGTCAGGGGGTCGTTCGCCTCTGCGATCGGCCCGCAAGCTGGAGCAACCGAGACCTCCGACGTCCCTCATCACGTGTTACAACTGTGGCCTCCGGGGCCACGTGGCGTCCGGTTGCCACGCTCCACGTCAGCGCGCCATGGGACCTCGGCTGGACGACGACCAAGGCCCCAAGTCATCCCTACTACCCCCGGCAAGTCGCGGCACTTCACATGTTCGGCCTACATGCACGTCACACATGGGCCGCCGCTTTGCGGCGGAGGAAGGCCGATTAGGGATCGGGGATTCGGTTCGGCGAGGGGGGTTCGTGCGGGACCGAGGGAACATTAAATGGTCTGAGTTGGGTCACAGAATAGTGGCTGCGTCGGCGGGTTCATCGGTCGTTACGGGATTCATTGACGGGGTCGAGGTCAGGGTGTTGGTCGACACGGGGGCGTCGGCGATTATTATATCAGACCTCATTTACAACATTCTCCCCGTCCAATGTCGACCTCTGCTTCCGGTGGACGTGCCATTTTACGCGGCAAATGGGGGCTCGTTGGGCATTGTCGGGCAGATTCGGGCGTCCATTTGCATTGGAGATATTAAATTGTCGGGACCCGTTTTCGTTTCCTCTTCCTTAGCAGTTCCTTGTCTGTTGGGCACAGATTTTTTGGCTAAAATGCCCATTAAAATTCTCATCGATCAGCGTTGCATTGAGCTACCATCGGGTCGCCGTATTTCTTTTTTGTCGAATCCTACGGAAATTCGGACGGCGTGCGCTACGATACAAGCACTGGCGACACAGACCGTGCACGTGCCCCCGGGCTCACAGATGTTGATTCCCCTCCGATTGAGGAAACCATTGGATGGGGAGACCTCGGAACAGGGCATGCTTTTGGGTCCATCAAATAGGACTGTCGGAGGTCTCGATTTGTCGGTGGCTCACACGTTGGTTCGGGCTGACAAGGACCCGTTCGTGATGGTTTTAAACGCTGGTTCGCGGCCGGCCGTTATTCAGCAGGGCACTGTGCTTGCTCACGTGGCACGGGTCCCTGCGCCTTGTTGCGCATGTTGATCCAGTCCCGGCGCAGAAAATTCCATCGAGGGAGGACCTTGAATGGGTCGATTCGCTGTGCGCGGACTCGAAGGATTTGTCAAGGGTACAGTTGGGTGCGCTGCGTGCGTTGCTGATAGAATTCTCTGATGTGTTCAGTAAGCACAAATATGACATTGGGTGCACGGACCTGTTGCGCCACCATATTAAAACAGGCGATGCGGCACCGGTCAGGCTAAATCCCTTCCGGCTGAGTCCTGCTGAGAAGGAACACGTTCAGTCGGCCGTCAACGATATGCTGGCGGCCGACATTATTTCGCCTTCTTCCAGTCCTTGGGGAGCATCTATCGTGCTGGTTAAAAGGCAAGACGGGTCCTTGCGATTTTGTGTAGATTTCCGTCGCCTGAAAAAAATCTCCGTGGCTGACGCGTATCCGCTCCCCAGAATGGACGAGTCCCTCGATGCATTGTCTGGTGCGCGATATTTTTCTACTCTTGATTTATTATCGGGATTCTGGCAGCTGCCACTCGGTGACGAGTCTAGACCTAAGACAGCATTTCGGATGCCAGGGGGCCTGTTCCAGTTTAACCGGTTACCCATGGGACTTCACTCCGCTCCCGCAACGTTTCAGCGCCTTATGGAGTTGGTTTTGTCGGGTTTGCAATGGGATACTTGCTTGATTTACCTAGACGATGTAATTGTTTTCAGTAAAACGTTTGAGGAACACCTCCAGCGATTGAGAGGGGTGTTCTTGCGGATGCGATCGGCTAAATTAAAGTTTAAACCGGCCAAATGCCACCTTCTTCGTAAGTCCGTGAGATACTTGGGCCACATTGTCGATTCTTCGGGGATCTCTACCGATCCCGCGAAGACGAACTGTGTCAGTTCATGGCCAACGCCCACGTCGGTTTCGGACGTGCGCAGTTTCATCGGTTTTGCTTCTTACTACCGCCGATTCGTTGAGCATTTCGCCACCATTGCAAAACCCTTGCACGCTCTAACGGCTAAAGGAGTCAAGTTCCGGTGGGGACCGGAGGAGGAGGCCGCGTTCTGCTCCCTCCGGGACGCCTTGGTGGGTGCCCTGCCCTTGCGTTATCCTGACTTTACAAGTCCCTTCTTGCTAGACACGGATGCTAGCAACACGGGCATTGGGGGGGTGCTCTCACAAGTCGTTGGGGGAGTCGAACGGGTGGTCGCCTATGGTAGCAGGGTTTTGTCACCGGCGGAACAGCGCTACTGCGTCACCCGTCGCGAGTTGCTGGCTATTGTTTTTTTTGTACAGCAATTTAG